ATCAGAAAGAAAGAAGAAACCACGAAAACAGAGAATATGGCAGAAACAATGGCTTGGAAGACGTGGACAACAAGGACTGTCAGTACTGCAGAAAGAGTTGGAGGTAATTAAACGGTACAATGAAACGTGGTATTATATACACAATATGCATTTGTTAAATGTATTTCTAGTAAGTTGATTGGATTAATTTGTGGCTTTTCGTGTCCGTTCATAAAGATGCATGATAAGAGTGTTTATACCATCTGCACTGTGATTGGCTAGATTAGTTCCACCTTGTCATTGTGTCGCTCACATTACAAGATTGTGTGGCGATAATATCAAACAGGTTTGAAAATATCGTAGCGTCTGTGATAGCTCGAGACAGGTTCGGATCACGTTGCTGACCTGCTCATACTTAACGAGCTTAGGCGACCGCAACGAGCACCGATTTGGTCACGATCCGGGGGTTGTCACAGACTGGAAATCTGTCAGCGACAGCAAAATCCAGCCAAAAATCCTGTAGTGTAAGCCCGGCTTAAACGGAGAACAAGTTGGGAAAACTCAAACTTCCTGAAGCTGGTTGCCTTAACTTTTCAATTCTCAACTTTTGATTTTTGTTTACAGTACACTCAAACAGAAGCTGCAACTGCATAATGGAGGTCATTTAATGCTCCTCACAAAAGTACAGATTCAAAAGAACTAAAATTACTGAAATTTGTGAATAGATTGCTATAACTTTTTCCCCACTTTGAGGTTGCAAATGTAATTAAAACACTGGAGAAATAGTCTAAACATTGTAAATCTAGATCTATAAATTCTTTAAAAACAGTCAAGATGAAGTCAAACATTTATATAAAGTACAGGTGTGTTTAAGTTTCTCCTTAAACAGAGTAACAAAGTAGTGTACTTGTACACTAAACATTCAGTTTTAATGAAAGTGTAAAATGCTCGGTCATTGTTTCTTGTCAAAACAGTCAACTTGTTTTGCTACACTGAAAACGGACCTTGAGCATGAAATCAATGCTGCAAATTCAGCATTAAAAAAAAAATTTTAATAAATAAAACCACACACACAACCTCCAGTACTTGAAAACTGGAAGTGAAGACTAAAAGCTCAAATGCACAAACCCAAAACCATTTAAAAAAAAGTTCTCACAGCATGAAGAGATAAAGACAGCATTTAACTTGATGAATAAAACACTTGCTTGACTAAGAATAAGACAGGCCTTTATTTATTTTGTGACATACATTAAAATAATGTCCAAACATCAAATGTTTATGGACTTGCTGAACCAAAGCACAAGTGTTTTGACAAACAGTTACACATTGGGGAGGAGACAAAATAAGACTATACCATTTAAAGAACACCAAACCACTTGTTCATATACTATACATATTAATGCTAAACCAAAGTGATACTCCAGAGCTGCGATTCCTGCGGGAGGTGGTGGGGTGGGGGGGATAGAAAAAGAACCCTACTGAATGATCACACAACGATAATATCAAACAGGTTTGAAAATATCGTAGCGTCTGTGATAGCTCGAGACAGGTTCGGATCACGTTGCTGACCTGCTCATACTTAACGAGCTTAGGCGACCGCAACGAGCACCGATTTGGTCACGATCCGGGGGTTGTCACAGACTGGAAATCTGTCAGCGACAGCAAAATCCAGCCAAAAATCCTGTAGTGTAAGCCCGGCTTAAACGGAGAACAAGTTGGGAAAACTCAAACTTCCTGAAGCTGGTTGCCTTAACTTTTCAATTCTCAACTTTTGATTTTTGTTTACAGTACACTCAAACAGAAGCTGCAACTGCATAATGGAGGTCATTTAATGCTCCTCACAAAAGTACAGATTCAAAAGAACTAAAATTACTGAAATTTGTGAATCGATTTGCTGTAACTTTCCCCACTTTGAGGTTGCAAATGTAATTAAAACACTGGAGAAATAGTCTAAACATTGTAAATCTAGATCTATAAATTCTTTAAAAACATAGTCAAGATGAAGTCAAACATTTATATAAAGTACAGGTGTGTTTAAGTTTCTCCTTAAACAGAGTAACAAAGTAGTGTACTTGTACACTAAACATTCAGTTTTAATGAAAGTGTAAAATGCTCGGTCATTGTTTCTTGTCAAAACAGTCAACTTGTTTTGCTACACTGAAAACGGACCTTGAGCATGAAATCAATGCTGCAAATTCAGCATTAAAAAATATAAATAAAACCACACACAACCTCCAGTACTTGAAAACTGGAAGTGAAGACTAAAAGCTCAAATGCACAAACCCAAAACCATTTAAATAAGTTCTCACAGCATGAAGAGATAAAGACAGCATTTAACTTGATGAATAAAACACTTGCTTGACTAAGAATAAGACAGGCCTTTATTTATTTTGTGACATACATTAAAATAATGTCCAAAACATCAAATGTTTATGGACTTGCTGAACCAAAGCACAAGTGTTTTGACAAACAGTTACACATTGGGGAGGAGACAAAATAAGACTATACCATTTAAAGAACACCAAACCACTTGTTCATATACTATACATATTAATGCTAAACCAAAGTGATACTCCAGAGCTGCGATTCCTGCGGGAGGTGGTGGGGTGGGGGGGATAGAAAAAGAACCCTACTGAATGAGTTAAAACTACATCTGCTAAATCATTGAGAAGCCTACAAATCTTTGCATTACTAGGATTGCCAAACTAACAAGATAATACAGCTTTAGCTCCGGTTTACGCTTACATGAGGACTCAAACGAAGCGTTTAGATTTGTACTGTAGTTAAAGGTATTGTGCATAATTGATAACAGTATTAAGAGATGCCAAGTGTTTGAGTAAAATCTAGACTTTCAAAAACTCAACTACATAAACATGCGTTTCAAAAACACCCCACCAACAAAATTAGTTTATACATACCCATGAAAAGGTAATTGAGCTCAAGTAGTGTTGGAATGGAATTAAGATGAATGCATACATGAACTAGCACGATACCATAACACTTCATTAAAGAGCAGCATCTGGCTTTATGCCTGAAAGATCCGGAACAAGTATCATTATTAAATGGTTATTTTTCCACAATGTTAAAATGTACAACACAAAAAACAAAACTTAGCATAATTGTCAGCCCTCCCACTCGAATTCTACCAGTATGCATTTCCTAAATCAAACTCGGTGTAAGGTTCAGGGGTTTGACAATCACAAGAGAGGTCTAGAACATTCCAACTAGATGCCGTTTGGGAAATAGGACCAGTAGCTCTGGTACCAGCCACCTGTGACATCACGATCCTGCCGTTGACCGGTTGAACACCCCTGAACGTGTCCACCATTAGGGGAGAGTTGGTTGCCTTGTTGATGTAAACGCTCGTACTGAACAGGTCAATCTAATAGAAATTAAAGTGGTTTGAAACTATTGAACTAAAGATGTTGGAATTGCTACTTTAAAAACAAATCACTGATGTAGGAACGCAAAAGTACTTCAGCTGTTACAAACTCTGCAAAATCAGCCTTTTCCCAAAAGTTTGACTCACTCAACGCAACTTACCAAATCCCAACTGACTTTGATGGGGTCTTTAAAGATGGTCCAAATCACACCTTCATTGCAGTTTGGTGTGGTCAAAGAGCCAAGATAACGGTAATATTTAGTCCTGTCCACTCCAGGAAGCAGATCATCCATAGAGATATATGGAGTGATGCATGCTTTATCACCTGAGAAGCAGAAAGGGCATTTGCAAAGACGTCAGTTATATTTCTACAGCTCTTTTCACAGAAGCAATTAAGAGATTTAAATATTGGTCAGTTTTGTTCAAAGCAAGCTTATGCGATTCTCCAAGTAATAATGAAGATCAGATTGGTTGGGTACATGTCTGAAAAGTGCAATTAAGGGATTTGCGTAGTGGTCAGTTTTGACAGTAAACAATTCTCTGAAAACATCAGTGATGATATAACTAGCCAAATAGTCTATGGGAGTCTGGTGAGTGTTTAACATTTCCAAAATTTAATTGCAAGTCATTTAAGCAACAATGTTGAAATAGAGGGTACAATTTTAATTAGTAGCATCTCTGCTTTCAGGCAGAATCGGCATTGCTTACTGTGAAAGGAACGTGCTTTTGTGGAAGAGATTTGACATCTTGCCCACCCGTTAGTAAACCAGGAACTGCTAGAAAGTCTTGGCTCAATGATTTAACCGCTTTGGTCTTTCAGGAGAAAATTGACATCAGGGTATAATTCCCAGAGATACAATTTTACAGTTACGCAAAACATGGCAAGTACTGCCACTTTTGCTGCCCGAAACTTGCCTGCATTGGCGATATCTGACAGGTAAGATGTTAAGGTCTTCCAGCTCTCTGGTTTGCCAGTGTCATAAGTGGCCTGGGAGTTAAAATACATTTTACAGTTACTTAAATTCTCAAATTATTGGAAGAAAAAATAAAATAAAAACCATTTAAAACCTTTTGTTTTTTTTAAAGTGTAGGAAACATACCTCAATGAAGAAACCAAGAGCAGCCAATATAGTTGAACCATTATGTACGAACTCATTCACTATGTGCATCTGAAACACACAGACATGACAAATCAATAAAAAAAATAAATAAATAAAAGAGTAATTGTACTAGTCCGTGCAATTGTCATACCTCCATAGGGTATTGTTTTCCATCCACAGTGTGTTCAGATCCAGCCATGAAACTACCATTACCCCAGTGAAGATGAAACTGCGTACTGGCAAACAAGCCTGGCAGATCACCTCCTTCCACATGCATTTTGTTGTGATCTAGTGTAACTTTAACTGAAGATAAAGCCAAATTGCTTAACACTATTAGAACACACAACTCCATGTTGAAGGTACAGCTGCAATAAGCTAACGAAACAGACACGAAACATGCAGAGCCTCACCTTGTGCAAATGCACAAATGATAACACAAAGAGCTACATTAACTCACTTGTCGTGCCAGTGTTTTTGATCTCAGTCAAGGTTGTGTCGTCATCATAGCCAGTGAAGATGAAAGAGGTCAGATTAGCATTAGCCTTGACATTGGTGGTTATGATGTTTATAGGAGACTGTTGAGCTCCATTACAGTCTTTTTCTGCGATTATGGGCCAAGCAACATCACCTGAGATGCAGAAAAGCCCTTTAAAGCAAAGCTCACTAACTTTGATGTTTGAGACCTTTCTTTCAGGGCCACGAAAGGAATTATGAAGTAGAAAAGAAAGACTTACTACATGATGGCATGTGATAACACCAAGCTGTGAAGAGCCCAAATACAGCAAGATTAACATGCTAGGGTAACTTTAAAAAAAACTCAATGGCATAAGTTGGGGAAAATGAACCGAACCAAATCAAAGGATCATATCGTACCCATGGATATTGGTGCACCATATGACACAGGCAACAGAAAAGCTGCAAAGCAGGTCCCGAACCAAGCATTCATCTTGGAGAGGGGAAAGGGATATTCAACTTTTATATTATTGTTTTTATATTTATATTTTAGCCATATATTTTTCCCTCACAGTCATTCTGTATGACACCCCGTAAACACATTATAGGTAACTTTATAACAAGCAAAAACAAAGAACCTTACAAAATATTCAATCCATTGTAGATTATACCACTGCTCGCTTACCATTTTACTTAATTAGATCAAATTCCTCTCTTCTGGTTAGTAGCCCAAATACAGCCAATATACACCTATTTAAAAAAAAAAAACCTGCATAACCCTACTCTGAACAACTACTCAAAAAGCTTTACACTCAGAAGCTTTAAAAGAACAAACAAACTTAAGGTGATCACCAAAAACAAATAGTAGCAGGTGTTGCCCTTTAGGGTAATTAAGGTCAGTTTGGATTAGGTGAAGCAGGTGTAGCAGGTCTCCACCCCCATGAGACATGCAGACATACTGATGAATAGCCTGAGTTCCAAAAGCAATTTATGTCAATTGCATGAGTTTTTGATGATTTATATACATTAAGTGGCTCAACCTGTTTTCAAATTTAATAATAATGTTTTTGAACAGCAAATCAGCATAATGGAATGATTTCTGAAATATCATGTGACACTGAAGACGAGTAATGATGCTGAAAATTCAGCTTTGCATCACAGGAACGAATTACATTTTAAAATATATTCAAATAGAAACATAGCAATTTTAAATTGTATTTCATAATATTACCGTGTTTGCTGTATTTGTATTTAAATGTCGCTGCCTTGGAATTAAAAGGTTCTGCATTCTGAGCAGTTTTGAGATATTGAGTTTCAAAGTTTTTGTGTTCCATAGACTTCTGTAGATAGAACCCTATTTGTTTTCTAAAAAAGTCCCAAAATGTACACAGCTTACAAAAGAAACATCACATAATGTAAATAAGTTGTCACAGAATAAGAATATGTGAATAACTCCATTTTGACAAAAATGTCAGATAGAACCTTATAATTCCAAGGCGACGATGTAGCCTTGATGAGTATGAGACTTTTTTCAAAAACATTAAAAAATGTTAAAGATTTCAAACTTTGTATATATGTGTGTGTGTGTGTATGTGTGTGTGTGTGTGTGTGCGTGTATTCACACAAGCATTTTGATCGGTCTTTTGAACCCTCATATACATAAACAGAACTCAACTGGAGACTTTTTGTTATTAAACAGCAAACATTTATTATTTCAGTTTTAATAGCTGTCAGGCTTTAGACATTTGAAACATATCACCTTAAATACTATAGAATCACCTACTGTTGAATAAAATTGCAGATAACAGGAGGTTCATTTAAAACATAAGGAGTCTGTATTATTTGAGCTGTTCTAAACTAATGCTGCCTTCACGTGCTTTCGAAATTATCGTAAATACGAGTTTCCCTAATCGGAAATTAGACGTGAACGCCTCTCAATAGCATGTGAAGGCAGCATAAGAGTTTGAGATTTAAAAAAATATATAATAATAATTGATATCCTAAGGACTCACAGATGATAAATTGTGTGTTTAAAACTGCACTTAAATAGAAATACAACTGGTAAAAATAGGAATACCTTCATGTCATTAACCCCTAATTTACATCTTATTTTTCCATGTAAGAATGACAAAAATCAACATATTACAGAAATCACCACGATCAAATGCAATCAATAAAGTGCACATAATTTACAAGAGCAATAAATTAAATCAGCTTATAGAATGTGTGTTCAAAGCATTTTTTACAGCCAATACAAACTGGACAAGAGAAGTACTGTGATAACAGATGAAGTGGATGATGAAGGTGCTGCAGATGCCACTGTGACCTGTGACGTCACGACTCTGCCATTCAAGGGCTGAACTCCCCTGAAGTTGTTGGTGTTTAGAACTGAAGCGCTTGCGTCTTTGAAAAGGACAGTTGTGCTGAAGCGGTTGATCTGTTTGGAGGAATAAAGTAATCAGAGTGACTTTTTTAAACTCAGAATATGTAGGAGTTGTCATCCAGTAGCAGACGAATATGATTTTTATGAATTACTGTACCACAAAGTTGCCTTTACTTACAAAGTCGTGACTGACTTTGACGGGCTCTTTAAACACAGTCCAAATCACAGCTTCATTACAGCTGGGTGTAGTTAGAGAGCCTTGGTAACGGTAATATTTAGTCCTGTCCACACCTTCAATCAGACTGTTCAGTGTGATTTGATTCATGATGTCTGAGGTTTGATCACCTAAATATACAAAAAAGTGTAATGAAACTACTTGGCTGTCTTCAGTTTTGCGCTGATTTGTTGAGAGATTAACCAAACACTCCAGCATTTAAAGGTTCGCTCAAAAATGAAAAACTTGTTATCGTTATTCAATCTTTGTTTTTGCCCATACAATGAACGTCAGTGTGGACCAGTGTTGTTTTGGACGCAAAAAAGTGTAATGAAACTACTTGGCTGTCTTCAGTTTTGCGCTGATTTGTTGAGAGATTAACCAAACACTCCAGCATTTAAAGGTTCGTTCAAAAATGAAAAACTTGTTATCGTTATTCAATCTTTGTTTTGCCCATACAATGAACGTCAGTGTGGACCAGTGTTGTTTTGGACACCACTGACTTTTACTGTATGCACTAAAACAGTTGAAACATTCTTCAAAATATCTTTGGAATTCAGTTTTGATCGCAAAAAAGTTGATTTTTAGGGTGAACTATCCCTTACAGAACTGCCGACTCGAAAGGCTTACAAACTATTTGTTTACCTGAATTGCGGATTTCTGTCAAATAGGATGTTAGGATATCCCAGCTTTTTGTTTTGTTCACTTCATTGGTTCCCTGTTGGTTAAATAAAAATAATAATAATAATACATATGCATGTGCACACAACCAAACCATTTAGGTTTGTGTTTTCCGCTTGATATTATAATAAATGTCATGCTCACCTCAATGAAGAAACCAAGAACAGCCAATCCTGTGCTGTCTTTGGCAGCTAGAGCAGCTGACACACTCCCGTTGTATTTTGAATGGACACTTACAATGTGCAGCTATGAGACACATAAGAACACATACAGTGAATGATCACATAAACTCTTAAAAATAAAGGTTTTTATTGGCATGACTGGTTCCACAAAGAACCTTTAATATCAATGGAACCCTTATAAGGCTCTTTATAGTGGAAAAGGTTTATTCAAACTAAGAAAAAAACCGTTCAGGTTCTTCATGAAACCAAAAATGCTTCTTCTATTGCATCGCTGTGAAAACCCCTTTTGTAGCCCTTTTAAAGAGTTTACTCAGGCTGCTTTGAGGGGAAATATTTGAAATAATGCAGTGCATTTGCAGGGAACATTCAATCATTCATACCTCCATTGGGTATTGTTTGCCATCCACGGTGTGTTCGGAGCCGGACGAGGAGCTGCCGTTACCCCAGTGGAGATGGAATTGTTTGGTGTTGTATACACCTGGAAGGTCGCCTCCTTGCACTTTAATTTTCTCATCATCCAGGGTGACCACCACTGTGAAGACAATTGGACATATTACACCAAATTTACACTGCCAAGCTTGCACAGAAGCGCTTTCTCGGGATCTTTACATAGACTGTTTAATGCTGCTCAGAAGTAGCATTTACACTGCAATTACAGCTGTATACTTTAGGTGCAGAGGTGGGTTAGAGCAGGCTTACTGTAGTCTGGCTTTTATGCAATTTTGCATCTTCACATTGAATTTTATGCAGGCACAGAGCAGCCCTAACTCTGCTGTTTAAAGATGTCTTTAGATACAATGTCCAGGATATACCACACATATGATTGATCTGCACTCTTGTGTACCACTACTTTTGCCAGTCTAAGTTTCCAATATAGTCAGTGAGTCTCATGGAACACAAAGAGGCATCAAATAACTTCCATCCTTCGGTTGTCTAACAGTAGATCACCTACATCTCTTTGCCAGCTCACACTTTTGTACTTCTCTGTGCAACCTTTTTAACGTGATGCTTCTCATGTTACCGTTTCCTATAGGGATTGGTTTTGTTATAGGTATTCCTCATTTGGAAGTCACTGAATAAGTGATTGATAAATGATTTTAGCAACTGTATTTCATAGAGATGAACAAATCTTGAGAAAGTCAAGGTTATTCTGTAAAATGCGCATTGAAATAAATGCAAGTAATATCAGCAAATCCTTACCAGAGTCGCCCGAGTTTACGATGGACAGGAAGGTGGAGTTGTCATCGAAAGCAGTTAAGTTAAAGGAGGTCAGGCTAGGATTTCCCTGAACACTTGCAGTCACGATATTAATGGGAGATTGTTTGGATCCATTGCAATATTGTGAGGCAATCTTGGACCAGGTGGTAAAATCTATGACAAATCAGGAGTCCAGAAAAAAATGTAAAATCACTTCAGAAAATGTATAGAGTATATATATATCGAGTTTTATGTCGATGTGGAATATTAGGACACAAAAAAAATTATAGATAAACATATGAATAAATCACACTTACTGCATGCTGGCTTGTGATAGCACCATTCTGTTTAAGGTGAAATGACAACATTAATAAATATACCCAATGAAACTTCCTATCAAAACGTTTCAAGAGCCTTTAGTGCCTACTTTAACAGAGTCACACAAAATAAAACTACATATGAACTTCAGTAAAACTCACCCACTGAAGCGTCCGCACTGTGGACGGTGGGACACAGAAGAGCAACAAGGCAAGTTACAAGCAAGACAATCATCTGCATCAAACAATACATCATTAAAAACAGAAACAATGCTGCTAACAGAATTGAATTGGATTATAGCTTGAAATGAGAAATGAAATCAATCACACATAACTCTGGTCTTACCTCTTTGACTCGATTCACCTGTCTGTATGCAGGAATATAATGAGTTGGCTTTATTCCCGAATCCTGCCTTTAGTACTCTTCACAGCTCACATGCAGTGGGTGGGTCACTTTCATCAGTTCATCTGCTGACAAAAAACTGCATTCCTATCTAGTCACATTGCTAGGCGTTGTTTATCTTCTGAGATTTCTTAAAAATTCATAGCAGTCACTTTTATTTCATCTTATCTTATAGTTTTTGCCTCTCGGCATGGGTCATGTTCTCTAACCCTAGAGGGTGAAAACGAAGTTTACTATAATGCGCTTTTGCTCACCAGCCTTTAAAGTGAGTCGAAATAACTTTGTTAGCCGTCGACTTTCAGATGTTTCCAAAATAATTGAAATAATGGCACCGGTTTAGATTCATTTGGTTATTTAAAAGGGTTATTTGAAACTGTCCTGGATACTGAATAACCTTTCATAAAGTTTCACAAGGATTCATTAGTACACTCTAAAAAATGCTGGGTT